ATGGATAAATAAAGTGTGGTATATCCATGTGCAGAAGTATTTAGTTCAATGACTTTAGAAACAAAGCTAACAAACAACAAAAATAATAGAGAAAGTGTATATCTCTAAGTGAAAGACATGATTCTGAAAACATTATATTCCGTATGATCCCCTTATGTGGAAAAGATTTGGAGGGAGGCTTGTGTGGAGAGGTATAATACAGGGAATTTTTATGGCAGTGAATTCCTTTTTGTATGACACTGGAATGATACATACACACTTGTCAAAGTCTGCAGATGTGGACAATATAAAGTGAGGCCTAGCTAGAGGACATCCATTGTCCTATTCTGGTCTTCAAATGCATGCACATGCATGCATACACCCACACACTTGCATGCATAACACACACACATACATACATACATATATACATACATGTTCGTAAACACACATACACACATACACACACTAACATCCTATCCTGTGAAGATGTGAGTTTCTGAAACAATATAGTATGTTTGTGAAACTATAATCAAGTGCTAGAAGGAGACTGTTAGAAATAAGGCAGTGGAGCCTTTCTTGTACAAGTCTTTAGAATATGGTTTAAGAGCTGTGTCAGTATCCATCATCTAGAGGAGGAGCTGAGACACTTAAATACTTGACAAAAATCTATTGACTCTTGTAGCATATAGATTCTAAGTTCCATGTCCCTGCTCACTGTGGTCCTCTTCCCTTGAACATGAGCAGTGCTTCTGGCTGGCTTCTAATATAGTACCCCAGAAGATATGGAGTACAGCCACACAATGATTTTAATGTGTAAAGACAGATTATATACTCTGTGTGGAGTATACCACATGATGTTGCTAATGTGTAAGGATGGATTATATATTCTGTGTGGAGTATACCCACATGACGGTATTAATGAGTATGGACAGATTATACACTCTGTGTGGAGTATGTCCATATAATGATGTTAATACATAAGGGCAGATTATACACTCTGTGTGGGGTATATCCACATGATGGTGTTAATGTGTAATGACATTATATGATCTGTAAGTTTTGCTAACACCTACAGGAGAGTCTCCATGCTTGTTTGATGAAGTCCAATGTTGTGAATCCTATAGCTAAGAAGCTATGGTAAGGAAGTCCAGCTATTGCCCACCTTTCTAAGCAGTACAGTCTAAGAACTTGTAGCAATGTTCAACTAGCAGCAAGCAGAAAACCAGGGCCCTGTGAAGTGTGAGCACAGGAGATGAATTTTGATGGGAGCTTGATTAATTGATGGATAATTACTTTCTTTGAAGCTTTTTCAGAAACTGAGGAGAGGGCCTTGCTCAGTTGTGCCTGAACTGTGAATTCAGGGAAAGTGAGGTCATAAAAATGCTATTTTAAGGCGTTAAGTCTGTGTTAAACATTTGTATATAGCAATAGAAAATAATACAAATACAGACCACGTGCTGATACTTCGTTAGATTTTTGTTACTTAGTGGCAAGAGAGATGAAGGTTTTGATCTCCCAGGTCACAGTCCAAAGGGGAGACATGTATTAAGATTTACCACCATGTGCAATATCAATATGGGGGGTAAAGTGAGGCAGAGATTCAAGAAATAGTGTCTCTTAGAGGAAGGGCTACACTCCACAGGGAGAAAAAGATGAGAGCAGTAAGAAAAACAGGAAAAATGGGGAGAAATCTCTGGAAAGATGAACCAGGGCTTAGAAGAATTATGAGAAGAATGACAGAGAAGGACTAGTAGAGAGGAGAATCGGACAAAACAGAACAAATTCAGAATTTCTGTGATAAGAAAGCAGATTTAGGAAGCATGTGCTTGGTGTCGGTATTTTAAATGGATGAGGTTTATCTAGTTTGTGTGATGGCAGAAGAAGCTAAAAGGAGAGAGAACAGACACCAAAATACAGTGACATAGGAGATAAAATTCTTCTGCTCTTCAGCACAGAGGACGGAACTATAGCTCACAGTAAGTTATGGAAGAGGGAAATTAAACGAGAAGAGTTCAATATTTTCTGATTCATGGAGAATACAGTGTTTGAGGAGGTTGAAATTATCCTAATTTAATCATTACTCATTGTATACGAGTATTCAATTACAGTACTCCATGAACATGCTCAATATTATGTCTCAATAAGAATAAGACACACATAAACTCAAGTCAGTAAAGGAGATATAGAAAAATAAACAGTGAAGTCAATGGGGATGTCAGGGAGAATCCACATCATAGGCTGAGATACCATCTGCAGATAATAGGACCCTTCCTCCAGTGCAATAGAAAGGATAGAGAGTAAAAGGGTTTAAAACATTTAGATATGGTTCTGAGTTTGGGGGTGCCAGTCTGTCCTAAATGATACCACCCCCTACTAGCAAATCAGAGGACATTTGGTGAGCGTGAGCATTGAAAGTTATTTTAATAGCTTTTTGAAATTAAAAAAAATGTTTTGATATTATGATATAATTACATCATCCCTCCCATTCCCTTTCCTCTCTTCAAGCCTTCCCATATACCTCTACTTGTTCACTTTCACATTTATGACCTTTTGTTAACTAATTGTTTTATCTATCTATCTATCTATCTATCTATCTATCTATCTATATCTGTCATCTATATATCTGTCTATTCTCTCTCTCTCTCTCTCTCTCTCTCTCTCTCTCTCTCTCTCTCTCTTCCTAAATACACAGACCCAACCTGCTCAGTTTGTATATTACTTGTATGGATATTTTCATTACAGAAAACCATAATGAAACAAATAGATAGCTGTGGAGTCCAGGCCCATTGGATAATTCTACAATACCATTCCCACACCTAAGACTCAGGAAGCATTGATGCAGATGGGGAAGAAAGACTGCAAGAGCCAAAGACTGTGTCTCCTAGGAATATTAGAATCTCCCACTATAATCTCACCAACATGATGGCCTAAACACGACAGCAGCTGGTTACTCCCAAGATAGAAATGCCACTATTTCACCATTGGGAATATCTCAGTGGGCTTGTTGTTGTAGTGGTTTCTAAACTTTACAGGTAGGTAGGACTGTTGATTGCTTTTCTCCCTTGGCAGCTCATGTCATTTCTTCTGTTACTATGAGAGCTAGTCCTCAATGAAGAAGCTTATAGGTTAGTTCTGGCTTGATTCCTCTAAGTCCTGTGTCAGGAGTGTGTAATGTTTTCAGTAGCAGGATGCTCCTTTCAGTTTTGGGAGGCGATGGCAATAGCTTATGTTATTCGAAGAGTCTCTAATCCTCACCTGTAGTGGGAATTTGTTCCACCCGTGACCTTGGGCTATCTGGCCTGAAAGAGGCGGTGCTCCTTAGCTGCCTATGTGACCGCTTAAAAGGGAAGAGAAAGGGGTCCCACTGCACTCTCTTGGGTGATGAAGACAGGACCAGGCAGCATGAAGGACTGGACTCTGCAACTGGATTTACCTTATCCTGTATCAGTGAGTCTGTTTTCCTCATAGAATCCTTTAATAAGTTGGTATATATAGACCACTGAGGGTCTCATTACACCCACTCCCCCACCCCAAATGACAATTGACTAAAAGGGGCATTTCCCTTGTCTTATACTGGGACTTTTGTTAGTGTATGACTCTTGGGGGGAAGTAGTATCACTCCATGTGGTATAACTCCATTTAAACTATGTACACACACACACACACACACACACACACACACACACACACACACACACACCTTTTAAATTTTTAAGTGACCTTATAAAATAATTTTCCTATGTTTTTATCAAACGTTCTTATTATTTAACTTTTCTTCCTCCCTCTCCTTCTGTATTATCCTCTCTCCCTTCTGCTCAGCTACATGCTCCCCATTTCTCTCCTTCTCCCTTCACAGCACCTGTCTCCTGCAATCTCCCTCTCTAGAACTCCTTGTTCCCTCTATACTTTTTATGTTTACTCCAGGTTATATACTCAAATGTAAAGATTTGGAGTTAGGAGTCACAAATAAGAGAGAATGTGCAACATTTGTCTTTCTGGATTTGAGTTACACAACTCAGTATATTTTCCATTCCATCCATTTACCTACAAATTCCATTGTTTTAGTCAGCATTCTATGTGAAAAGACACCATGACCACAGAAACTCTTATAAAGGAAAACATTTAATCGAGACTGGTTTACTGTTTCAGAGGTTTAGTCCATTATTGTCATGGCGGGAAGCATGGCAATATGCAGGCAGACATGGTGCTGGAGAGGTAGCTGAGAGTTTTGCATCTGACTCGGTAGGCATCAAGAGCAGAGAGACACACTGGGCCTAGCTTTAGCATTTGAAACTTCAAAGCCCACTACCAGTGACACACTTCCTCTAACAAGTCCACACCTACTCCAATAAGGCCACACCTTGTAATAGTGCCACTCCTTGGTGACCAAGCATTCAAGTCTATGAGCCCATGTGAGCCTTTCCTATTCAAACCTCTACATCCATCATCTCTTTTTTTCTTCACAGCTGAGGAGAATTCTGTTGTGTGTGTACCGCATTTTCATTATCTGATGATGAGATCATTATCATTGTAGGATATTTACTTTTAACTGACTTGATTTTGTTCAAGTTGTGTGTGTGTGTGTGTGTGTGTGTGTGTGTGTGTGTGTGTGTGAGACAAATGCCTCATTTAAGAGAAAAAAAAGGAGTTTCTATGACCAAGATTGAGAGCTGTGCACATTTATTGGTATAACACAAATATTTAGAATGCAGTTTGACAAAATGGTCATTTAGCAAAAACAAAAACAAAAAACCTGACAACAGTAGGTCCCCCTAGCATCTGTCACTTCAGAGTCACACATGCTTCCCTTAGTACACTCAGAATCTACTAAGAAACTGGTGATTGATCACTTTTGTGTAAATGAACAAATGTTACTAAATTTCTCAAAGTTTACATTATGAAAAAAAGCAGGAGTCATAAATTTCTGGTGTGATTTTATTGGGTGTTTTCTCTTGAATTTTGAAGAGAGTTAATTCATTGTAGAGATTGCGTTATTTTACACTGAGTGGTACGACTTCTCAGTGGGAATGCATCATTTTCAAGATCCATCTTGCGTAAGGATGAATTTCAGTGAAGAAGCCCTCACTTCCCTTGGTTATGCCTGCTTTTCCCCAGGACAATATTCCATGAAGCCTCCCACTGCAGATGGCTGGAGCAGCTGAGACTTCCTGACAGAAAGAGATAACTAGATGTCAGTGTCACATTGTTGCCAGGGATAAAGAGTAAATCCTAAGACATGACATGTGCCAGTAGCAAAATCATCTGGGGGAATGAATTCATTTAATGGGAGAGGGGACAACTGTTGCTTCTATCTGGTCTACTCTCTCTCTCTCTTCGCAGTTCAAGTTTTGTCTAACTTGAGTGCAAGTAGGAGAAAGGACAAATGGCCTACCCTAGATTTCTCCCACTCTAAGATGAGGAGGGGAATGAAGTACATCGCAGAATGAACAGTCAGGGAGAGGGACTTCAGCTTTCTGCCCTTTACTCTGTGGAAAGTCTTTTTGATATGTGATGTTTGATTTCCCAACCTGCCTCGATCCTATAACAGATCCTCTACTGTCCTCTTGCATGGGTAAAGATACCTTAATTGAAGTCATAACATTAAGCGAGTGTCCTATGCACATGATGTTCATCCATATTTCTTGTTTCTCTTTTTGGAGAATGTTCCAGCAGTCACTTTGGGAAAGAGAATACTGATTTGTCCATGTCAGGAGGTCAGGATCAGTGACTATGGGGAAAAAAAAAAGACACATGAGACCCAGAGTTGTTCTTCTGAGGAGTGACCTTGTGACCAGCCCTTAGTTTGTGAATCAATTAATCCCTGGGACTATCCAATGCAGGTAGCTGTAGACACTCCAAACCTTAGAGTTTCTCATGCAGAATCTCCATTTTGGAGAAATAGATCCCAAAGTTCCTCATCTATCCATCATTAGATGTATAGTTCTATCTACTGTGCATAATCCAAAATTTTTGAATCAATTATATGGAGATTATGAATGTCCACAAAGAAAAAGAAACAAAACCCTTGGCCTCCAAAATTCCTTCTACAACCTTCTGTTGGACATCTGTTCATCATCTTTACATTTTATCACATACTACAAATCTATATAAAACTAATGTTTTGAGCTTTCTTTCTTTTTTCCTTCTTCCTTCCTTTTTTCCTTCCTTCCTTTTTTCATTGTGAGTGTGTGTATGTGTGTATAAGTGTGTGCTTATGCCATGTAAGCCCGTGAAGGTCAAAAGACAACTTGTGGGATTCAGTTCTTTGGTTCCAACATGTAGGTTACGGGGATTGAATGTAGGCCATCAGTTTTGATGGCAAGTGCCTTTACCTGAAAAGCCATTTTGCCAGCCCCCAAGACCAGTCATGCTTCACTTAATGATGGACACGTTCTGAGAACTGTATTAATTTGTACTTACACTTAACAATTACCTACTAGACAATATTTACTTACACAAAATTAAGTTGTAGAGCCCATTATCTATTTCAGCTGTATTTTATAGTCTTTCCCTCTTAGGCTATACACCTGCTTAGCATGTGACTGCAGTTGGTATTGTTACACAAAATGGTAACTACTTGTATATCTAAACATATGTGAACATAGAAAGGTTTGGTAGAATACTATTGTTAGGCACTTTTAAGCTGTAAATTGAACTTTATGGGATTGTTATTACATGTCTTTCCTCATTGTCTGAAACACCATTATGTGGTTCTTGGCTATAAATTTAATCATTTATAAATGGTTATTTCCATGTATGCGTGTCTATATAGAAATGCACATACACATTTCCCCCAAGAGGTCATAGTGTTCGTCTCCATCACAGAAATTGCTACTATACTACAAAAGTCTGGGTACTTTAACCAAGGGACTAAGTATTTTAATATCTAGTAAAGAGTAGTAAGAAAGAAAAAAAAACAATTTGTCAAGCTAAGCATTGTGGTACCTACAGAGCTGATACATATCTAGTAAGATGGTGTTCTGTAGATTAGATCAAAACATGTTAAGTCAGAAGAAAGAGAGAAACAAGTTATGCTCAGTTTTATGTATTTTTATTTTTGGGAAAAATTCACTTAACAAGCTATATGAAAGTAACAAGTTACTTGAAAAAAAGATTTCCTTATAGATATTGGGACCTCTGTAGGAAAGTCTTTTAGAGATAGTCTGTTGAGGTTATTTTAATATACAAAACTGACACAATAAAATCTTCATGTAGTAAAGATATGGATTTCTCCATCATGTGTGAAACTAATAAATTAGTTTCATAAGGTGTGATGGAATTACTTCAAATAATGCTTAAGAAGTCAATGACAAAACCCACATGAAATGTACTGTTTGTTTGTGTTTTTCAGAAATCTTAGACACTTAGAGTCCTAGTCAGTTTGTTTCTAAACTAAAGTACAAAGTTTCAAAATACTGAGAAAATCAAAGTTTCTATAGTTTATTTGTTGTGAAAATCATATTTATTTGGAAAGTGCTCATTTGTTTTCACGGTGTGGCCACCAGAAGCTGGGTTTAACCCTGACTAAGCAACTTTGAGAAAACCTGAAATAAGCATAACATACAAGCAATCACTGCACAGCCCACAAGGACGAAAGCACATGAGAAAGCCATGTTTGAAGAGAAGCTCCAGCAGACATCAGTTCCCTCTAGTCTTGCCAAGTTGGACCCGTAAGGCAGACGGGTGCGTGCTTATATTACACGCTATGATTATTTTCCAGGGAGGTGTGTCAGCCTAGAGATGTAACTACAAGCATGTTGTAATAATCAGCTAGTCTATGAACCACCCAACTCTACACCCACAAGTGAGGAGCTTTTCTTGTGACACAAGTTATGAAAATTATGCTCTGTAAGGAACCAGCACTGGCAAGAGGGTAGACTCCTCCTTCAACCTTTTCTTTGTCATCCAGGGTCGCACGGAAAGAATGTGTCCTTATGTTCCTGGACACAGCCTGGGTGCTCTGTGGCAGAGTTGGAAGCATCCTTCATTCCTTTGCCTATCACAAAAGATTTGCTTTGCTTTTCCTAACCTCTCTTCTAAGGAGTACATGGTAGGCTTTCAGCAATCCTCACTGAGAAGCCCGCTCTCCACCTTCAATACCCTCTTTATCAATGAGAACTCCCAGTTCTTTCTAATTCATTTGTATTCAGTTGCTAGCCCCAGTTCTCAAATACTTTAGAGACAGAACAATTATGGCCCACTCTATTTGTTGCTGTCATAGTAGCTGTCCTGCATCAGTCTCATGAGTTTATCTGTCACCTTCTGGGAGTACAAAGTCTTGACGGTAATCACTACAGGATTAAGAACTTCATATTTCCTCTTTCTATCAAGTGTATTCAACCACCTCTTTTCCCAGCCCCAACCTGCCCAAGATGAAGAAAACAATCAAACACTCACAGTTTTTGTAGCTATTCCAGGTCCATGTTGGTATAAAGCAGGTTTCATTAAATGCCATGGGTTCCATAGCTATGGCTATAGTTCCCACATGCATGTTTATAGCAGCAGGGTAAGAGAGTTTTATCAGCATCAGGTCATTTTTCCGGAAATTTGCATCGAAATTAGGATGGACTATAGTCAGTGAGTAACTATAGATCTGCTCCCTCTCATTTTTGATGTTGGGTTGGTAAACTCCCAGTCGGATTTTAGCTCTTGGGGAAAAAGAAAAGGCAGAGAGATGAAGAGAAAACTGTCACACAATATCAGAAGTCACCTTGTCCAATCAATTTAGTTTTGCTTTTCAGCTGCATAATTGAAGTGAAACTAACATTGTGTATAAAATAATAGTTTACAGGATTATGATGTCATCAGCATGCACATGGAATGACCAACGTGGGGTCTGATATCTACAGCATATTCAATAGCTCCTATTCTAATTAAGATTTGAATAATCTGAACTAGAAGCCAGGAGAGAAGTCACCACATTTGATGGTTCCAGAGCTCTTTGTATACTCCATATTTGCTCAGGCAGGTTTTGAACTTGTACCTACTACATCTAACATTCTTAGCCTATCCAATACTCTTCTCAGAACTAGATAATTATTATTATTTTTTTTTTTTGTTTTTTCGAGACAAGGTTTCGCTGTGTAGCTTTGCGCCTTTCCTGGTACTCACTCTTGTAGCCTAAGCTGGCCTCGAACTCACAGAGATCCACCTGCCTCTGCCTCCCAAGTGCTGGGATTAAAGGCGTGCGTCACCACCGCCCGGCTAGATAATTATTTTTGTCTCACCTACATTGATCCCAGATTCTCAAATTTCCATGAGTAGTTTTGTAGAGATAACAAGTCATGATTTCCTGTTACATTCTCTGGGCAAATTCAGATGCCCCTGTCACAAGGAGGCTAGTCATGCAACATACCAAAAGTGATATTCCCTTCCCAAAGTAGTTCACAGTAGTAATAGAAAGTCTGCTTATGAACTCCAGCATCATGTGAACCGTTTTTGTTTCCTGTGTATCTGTCCTAATGCAGAGAGCAAGCCTTCAATCACTGTTGCGTCAAATTTGTCTTAAACAACCAGGTGGCTAAGTTTGAAACAGAGCTGAAGCTCTGGGTCAGACTCCCTCATTCAATACGTCCTTTTTTTTTCTTAAAAATTTATTTTCTTTTATGTGTATGAGTGCTTTGCCTGCATGCGTGTATGTGCACTACATATGTGAAAGTGTTTGTGGAGGCCAGAGAAGGACATCAAATCCCACTGGAACTTTGAGTTACAGACGGTTGTGAGTTCTGTGGTGATGTGAGTGATGTGGGTGCTGGGAATCAAACCAGGTCCTCCCACAAGAGCAGCAAGTGCTGTTAACTGCTGAACTGTCTCTCCATCCCCTCAAATGGATTCTTGATATCCAACAAAAATACTGAGATTCTCAGAAAGAAAAAAATAATGTTCTTCCTCGTATGGGGATCCTAGCTTGTATTGTATACATGTATGTATTTAAACAAATATTCACCTAATTATAGAATAACATTTGGAAAGAACAAGGAAGAGTAGTAGTGGGTGATGAGGAAGCATGAAATAACACATAAGTTGTGAAAGAGGATATAAAGCTAATTTTTCTTCTAATTCTGTCATGACTTTTTTCTTGTAAGTGCATAAAAATGTAATTGATAATGAAGTCATAAAGCCCTAAGTGAAGCTCCATGGCTTCAACGTGGTCATTCTAAATGTTTAGGAACTCACTGAGACATGGGCAGTATTTGCTTGAGTGACTCGGTTCATCTAGCAGTGTGATGTTCTTATTTGTGATTTCGTGGCAATAAGATGATTGAAAAATGGATTTTCAAGAGATGCTTTATTTTATACTGAGGTTCCTTGCTTTCTCTTGTTTACCTGCAGGATGTGATCTCTGCCTTCACCTTCATCCCGTGACCACCTCTCTTACCACATATACTCAGTCAATCATACTTCCTCACCATGCTACAACCCTCACAGCTTTGTTACATCAGAGACTATTGGATGTTGTTCTCATGCCCTGGAACATTTCTAGGCTTTATTCATTTAGCTGACTTGTGTTCTTCCTGCAGGCCTCCTATCTTCAGAGAGGCCTAACCTGCCCACCTTATACATTATTCTCACACCCCACACCTCGCTGTCCTGTTTTATTTACTTTTGATCACTTCTCTGCTTTGGATTACTTCTTAGGTCAGAATGTAAGATCCATGAAGGAAATGTATTTCTAGGATGTTCACTTAATGGTTATATTAAACCATATAGTAAGTGATTTGTGAATGTTTATAGATGAATATTTGAAATAAGTCTTCTAAGGCTTCTTATTAATTTCTGTACTGAAGTGTGTAAAAATGGAAGAAAAGCCAATCTTCTAGGATCATCTAATCCATGAAAAGCCTGGAAGGTTGCTTCCTAGACCAACTTCCATAGTGTAGATCCCCCCTATCCCCCATGATTAAGGAATCACTTACGGTAAGGAACAATGAGCAGCAGTGAGCACCCACTGACGGTCAATGAGAGTCCCCACACAAGGCTCTGGTTTGGACTGCAGATAGACCATGTAAGGAATGTTAAAATTAACTGGTTCATCTGAGACCTGATCTTCTCCCAATACAGTTTCTGGAGAGTTAGGGATTAGGGAAGGAACAGAAACAAAAGGTTTAGTAAGCTAGATTTAGTTAGGGTAGTTTTCAAAGATATCAAGGCCTTTATTTTTGATATTTAAAAAAATCCACACAAAATAATGTGTCATACAAGCTATACATGTTAGGAAACTAATGATTGTTTTTGTCAAGATGGAATTATATCAAAGCTATCTAATACTAACACATGGGCTCATCTGATGCTGATCAAAAATTCTGACAGCACTGTGTATTAGAAAAATGAACAAAATCAACAAATACTTTAAATACTAGTTCTTACCATCAATTTTGGCCAATAATTGGGGTATAAATTAAATACTTTTTGACTTCGGTAGTGAAAAGAGCATAGAAACTCAAAATTTATAGACTTACTTTCTGATTAGCCTACCTTCCTTCTTAGACCCAAACTTCCTAACATCTGATATGGGAAAAGGAACAGAGACTCTGTCGGGGGAATCAACTACGTACTGAGGAATTCCTAGGCATGTTTCTGTAAAGCCCTCACAGGCAGGGTACTCAAAATGCTCCCAGACATCAGAGGGACCCAGAGAGTATATTGGTAGTAAAATATGTGAAATAAGAGTCTTTTCTTTGATTTCCTTCGGCAGATAATATTATCATCTTTAAAATGAATCCCCATTTCTCACTCTATCTCACAAGCTATGGGTGGTTACTCCACCTTTCAAGCACTGGTGTACTTCTCTGGATTTCACCCTCAGTAGAAACTAGACTTCAAACTCACCTACTGCACCCAAGAGAGTGAGGATGAAAAACATCTTCATGGCGAGCTACAGTTTCACCAGAGTAGACTAAGTGGCCACACTGTCGATTGTCCCAACTTGGAGCCCTGGGACCTTGACCACAGTGGCTGAAGGAGAAACACTGGTGGTAGGAGGAAAAGGCAAAGGTCTTACAAAAATCTTCACACTATTTTTCTCAAGATCTGACCTTTCAAGATATGTGGGAGTCCCCAGGATCTGACTCTGATGAAGGTGGAGAGGAAGAAGACCAAGACAGGGACCTTGGTGCTTCCTGTGTAATACTTAAAACCTTCCCCAGTCATCAGATGTACCTGCTGACCCCTTCCCTCCTCTCTTTGTGACATGGCTTTTCTTTGCTGTCTTTCTCCTCCCCCGATTGTGACTTTAAACCCGCCTCCTTGAGCAGCTCTGCCTTCTCAGTCTCCTTGCCATCTCCGCAGGCTCTCAGAACATTGATGGATAAACTACATTGTCAATACCATTTTGACTTCTCCCCTCCTTTTTTGTGCTGAGGAGCCTGTAGTTCTTACTGAAGTTAGTGGCAAAATCAGGACCCAGAATGAATTCTTCAGATTCCCTGTCGATAAGACTGAGCTTTATCTGAGACCTGGGCTCCTAGCAAACAGCATTGGTTATGAAATCCTCTCACTGTTCTGTGACTGGGAAACAAACCAACACAGAGTACCACCTTCATAAGACATGGGTCAGGTCTTCTGTTTACTTTTATTTTTTTCTGACTCCAGTATGACTGCTCATTCCCTTGTTCTCCCACAGCAGATCCTGAAGCTTCTATCTTCTCACCAGGCCAGATATATTCAGACTTACCAAATTTTTATTTTTCATCATAAATAATGAGGAAAGATAGAAGTTTATTTCCTTAAAATTAGCTATCCTTAAACATTTTCTATTCAGCTAATTGTTTTTTTTTGTTGATTGCAAAACAACCCTGAATCTGAATTTCTCCATCAAAAACTTACTTAAACCTCCTCACTCCAATAAAGGTTTGGGGCAAAACCTACCCTGCTGGCATTATTTGGTTGGAATAGTAAATTTTTTTTTGCTTTTTGTTATTTTGTCCACTGCTTTTTTTTTTCTGAATGGACCATGTTATTTTTTATGAGAAAATCTGACAAGATAGTTTCCTGATTGCCATCTGCCCCAGAGATAGGTAACACACAGTAAGGGTTTACCTCTACTGTTTTATTGAGAATTTTATAAATGTATATAATGAAATATGATCATATCCATCCCCCCCCATTTCTCCTCACCGACTCTCATTCCTCTCAACACAACAAAAAGGTAGTTTAGTGACAACTGAGGAAATAACACTGAGGTTAGTTGTGATTGTACAGTTAGCAGCCTATTGATTTCACAATTAAGAAATTTCTTTACCTTCATCTTAGGGGAAATAATAATATTACATTTGAACTCAGAGATTATCTAATCAAATATCAGCAAGAATTAAAAAGAGTTAGACCATGAGTAATGGAACAACCACCTTCCTGTTCACTGTCTATCCTGAGTCTCCTGTGGACAGCATGCTTGTATTCCTCTGATATTTGATTAACCCAGGATAAGATGGTACAAAAAAGAGGAGGCTGGAGAAGTAATCATGCTTAAGTAAGGTGGGGAATATGGAGTGCCCATGATGGACTGTTTACAAGGTGGAAGGACCAGAGGTAGCTCATGTGACCACAAGAGGATGCAATTAAACAAGGTATGGAGACACATCAGAAAATCAGGACACTAGTTCTCTCAAGACCTTCTGCTGCCTTGCTCTTGGACTCAGTAGCCTTCAAAACTGAGATTATGTGTTTTCGAATCCCCTTGGGTCTGGTGTTTTGTGATGATTACCTGAGCTGACTTACGCATTATTATTATTTTCCTCTTATCACCAGGGTGGGATACCTTTCCTTGTTCAAACCTACTCCATTTATTCAGTGTTGTCTGTGCTCAGGCCCTACTCATTATTTCCTTTCCATTGGGTCATTCCAGATAACAACAGGAATCATGTGGTTTAATTGCAGAACTTTCTCTGGATGATTGGTGAGGTAATGAAGACTTGAGAGCCAGTCAGGAATTAAATCATTGTGTGTGTGTGTGTGTGTGTGTGTGTGTGTGAGAGAGAGAGAGAGAGAGAGAGAGAGAGAGAGAGAGAGAGAGAGAGAGAGAGAGAGAGAGAGAGAGAGAGAGAGATATCCATTCTCAGGCTGGACTCAAAGCACAGATAACCACCACCTTTGGTACCTAGATATTAAATGTATATACACTCACCATTTAAAATTTTATCTTCAGTTAATTTAGTACACAATCTGAGCTGATTTGGTGGACTGGGATTAGGGGTAGATTATTGCTGGAGACCATGGCTACTCTAGTAGTGTGATCACCAGCTTTTCATTATTTGGATCAATATCTAAGATAATTTGAGGGATAATTTATATTTGCTCATGATTCAGAGGTCAACAGTTTGGGGCTACATTCATTCTGGGTCACGTGAGGCAGATGGCAGAGGGTACTCACCTAAGTGTGGGCAGGAAGCAGTAGAAGGGAGACTGAGGACCATGTCAATTCTACAGAGTGACATCTTCAGTGCTATTATATTTCCTCCAGTTAGGACTTAGTCTCTAGAAATTACACCAAACACCCAACATAGAAACACTGGCAAGTAGTAATACACCCTTGGAAAACAAGATTTTGGAGAATGGGAACATACTGGTGGGTGGAGCTTAGGAAAACAGAGAAAAACTGATAAAAGAAGAAGAAATGACAGCACCCTGTCACAGAAGCCCTGATGCTTTGGGTACAAGGACATTCTGGGCTTTGTTCTGTCTTCGCTGGGAACTATTCCAATGACTTTGGGCAACTGATTGTAACTTTGCATTTCAGTGTCATTGAGTTCTATAACTCATGCTACGTGGCAGGGATGTTCATTGTAGCAACATTTCCCTTATGTATTAAGAAACACCTAATTATTTCTTTAAAATGTAATGGAAACAGTAACCTTATTCATTTTCATAACAGTAAGGTTTCATAGAGTCTGCCATATGTCAAGCAATCAGTGAGTTTTTATTGATTCGGTTTAATAAATGATGAAAGAAGCCTTCAAATTCCATAATAGTTCAACATCTGCTCACCTTCTCATTTTTCATTTTTTTTCCTTTTGACCTGTTTTTATTCTTTGACAATTTTATACACATGTATACTATTTTTATGTAGTTTTTCTAGTTTTTGAGATTATAATATACTTATTTCTCTTTTTCCTTTCCTCCCTCCAAACTCTTCCATATACCATTCATCACTGTCCTTCAAGTTCATGGTTTCTCTTTTTGCTAATTGTTATTGTATGCGTATGTGCACATGTTTAAAGATACACATTCTTGAATATAACCTGTTTAGCCTGCATAAAATGATTCTGAGTTTTCATCCCCATTACCTTTTTAAAAATTATTTATTTGTATTTTATGTCCATCAGTGTTTTGCCTGTATGTATGTCTGTGCGAGGGTGTCAGATCCCCTGAAAGAGGAATTACAGACAGTTGTGAGCTGCCATGTGGACACTGGGAATTGAACCCAGGTCCTCTGAAAGAGCAGCTGGTGTTTTTAACCACTGAGTCATCTCTCCAGCCCCCACATTACCTCTTTTTATTCTCCTATCCTGATGAAGGCCTTCTTTAAAAAAAAAAAAAAGCTTGCTTATGTTGGTACCTTTTTAAAAAACTCATTGAGTTTAATGATTGTTATTGCCATCATAGGAACTTATTTCCTGGAGTCTGGGCAGTTTATCAGTGGCCACATCACTGAAGAAGATGACATCCTTCTCTCAGCAAGTTTGAAGAGAAAGTTCATCGTTACCAAAGACAATACGTAGACAAAAGTACGGCAGAATACAATGTCTTTATTCCCACACCCATCTTGGGCACAGCAGGAAAGTGAAGCTGACTGTGGAAGACTGGTTCAGGAGATACACTTAGTTGGCCTCAATGGTCCGTTGAATCCATTCCAGGTAGTTGCACACTTTGGTGGATACACCAGGTTTCCCTTTCTCACCACAATTAGCGCCCCAGGAGACAACACCTTGGAGTTCTCTATTGCAGACCACGGGGCCACCAGAATCATACTGAACAAGAAGAAAAAGATAATCAGTGTTCTTGTTGATACCCAGACGACAGAATGAGGTTGGATGTAGTCCATTATTATCCTGGGGCTATTTCTCAAGTCCTTCAAGTGATACCCACTCTACTCCCGGAAATCCAGCACACAGTATCCTTACTATATCCCTAATACACTTATTTTTTTTTAATGGTGCTACTTCTTTCTGTCAGAGTCCTGTAGAGGCTATAAAAGGTGAAGACTGGAGAGATTTAAGGTTGCCTCATCAGCTCTGCATTTCCACAAGAGTTCCCTGCAATACATTTCAAAAGGCTGCCTGTGGGTATCGTCTGGACAGTCTTACCGCCAATTTTAACTATCCCATCACAAATAGAAAACTTATAGTTCATCCTAAAGCTATTCCCCAACTTTCAGGTTCAACCTCAGAAAAAGTTTAATTTTAATTTTGTATGTATATGTGGGGTGTGTGTGTGTGTGTGTGTACGTGTGTTTGTGCTTTTGTGGTGAAGGGCAAGCATGTGTTGTGAGTGTCTGATGGAGGTCGGAAGTTGATACTGGACATCTTCCTTCACTGTGCTCCATTTTTGTTTCTCTAGACAGGGTCTCTCGTTGCATTTAAGCTTGTGGATTCCTGGTACTCTGCTATTCATCTTGTTCCAGAGATCCCCTGTCTTTACCTCCCAAGTGTCAGCATCACAGGTGGCTGCTATGTGGATTCTGAGAATCCAAATTTCAGCCCTGGTCCCTGTGAAGCAAGTGCTTTATCCACTGAGCCATATCCCCTGCCCCCTCAGATACAGAGTTATGGCCTTCTGCATTTCATATGGAGAAATACGTTGACGGGGCTGAGGTTGACGGGGCTGAGACTGACAGGCTGGCAGGGGAGGAAAAGGAACGCACCTGGCAGGTAT